AATATCACCCTGATGTTTATAGGGGAGCATTCCTTTTAAGGTATACGGTTTGATAGTGGGTATATGAGATTCGGCACATCCGAATATAACACTCTAACTTGTCCCTAATTACGTTTCCAATAGAAATAATTTTTTTATTTTTTTTTTTTTTTTTTTTTTTTTTTTGGGCCACGTACCATTTGGATACAGATTTCGAACGATAGTTAAGCAATGTGGAGAGATTTTTGTATTTTTCGAAATAAACTATAAAATATTGTATTTCAAATTCGATCCGAAGTTTTTAGATAAAGTTAAGAATTAAATGGACATTAATGTTTTTGCCTAAACGCCTAAAGAATTTTTTCACACAGCAGAATTGTTAAAACTAAATATTCGAGAATTTTAATTAAGATTGGACAAACATTTTGTTAACGAATGTTTTAAAAAATCTCTCAGGTTGTTTTAGAATTGTGTTGTTTTTAATTTTTCATTTAATATTTTCTATATAGTCCACTTAATTTGAAAAGAAAATCTATAAATAAAAAATTGAATATAGTAATTATTTTGTTTTTTTAATTTTTCAAATATTTGATATTTTTAACACCGAAACAAGTTCTCTTTGCGTGACAAATTGTTAATTCCAATGAATATCGGGGAGGGTTCAGTAAGAAATGACACGAGAAAATGGTAAAATCTTAAGCAACCCTCAAGAAAGCCAGTACATGAAATACAAAGTTAAAAAGAGATAGCAATATAGTTATGAAAAGAGCAAGCATTAATAGTGGTGGTGAATAGGACCTATTTAAGAACTTACGATCTAAATTCTTAAACAGGTATGATTATTTCACCTTTAAGAATTCTCATAAGAAAATAATGCGCCACCTAGTGTGCGAAACAAGAACTACAAATTAAAAAATGGCAAACTTATGACAGGTAAGATTAATATCTTTATGAGAATTATGACAAGCAAAATATGAGAAATCTAATTGGATCTGTAATACGGAAACAGAAACTTCAGAAATTTACTTTTAAAGTGAAACTTCATATTAATTTTTTATATTTTTAACACCTTATAAAATTATGACGGGATTTTTATATTTTTGGGTTTTATGTATTTATTTTTTCAATTTTCTCTATACGATTAAAATTAAGAGCATCATCTTTATTTCTTTGATTTTTTTATGTGGGTGGCCAATCATACAAGTATGTCCAATATGCTTAAAAAAGTGAAAATCCCAACACTACGTATAAAATTCAGAGATACATAAATATACAGTCTGTAAAACAAATTTAGTAGTGAAGCTCATAAATTAAAAAGGAAAACGTCTACCGTTCTTGTTTTGCGTGTGACAGTAACATGTTTTTGTTTAACAAAAATATTTTTTTCTTAAGATAACAAATTATTATTTTTTATTAAATATATATAAAAATTCTAAAGAATTAAATATATTATAGATTTTATTAAGTTTTTTATTTATTTCAAAGTGTTATATTTAAGGTGTGTTTTAAAAATACTAAATTTGATGATTTAGTACAAAAAATTTTTTGTTTGTAGAAATATGAAATTCTCACATTTATCATTGTTGGAAACAAAAGAAAACTTAATATAGTTTCCACAAATAAAGACAAAGTGGAAAGTTATCATAAAAACAAAATTTCTACTAATAGTCCATTCAAATCTAAGTTATTTTTCTTCTGACCTCTAGTTTCTTACTCCTGATCGTTGCCATTTCGCTAATAATTTTTGGCCGATTTCTGAAACGAGAATTGTACAACACAAATGTATGGAGCCAGCAAAAATAAGTACTTCCAAAAGGATAATATTTATCACCACTTCAAACGTATGTTTTACCTCTTGAGAATGACTTCAGAAGTAGTGTATTTGGAATCAAATAAATATAACATCCCTCCTATGACAAGCCTTAGTTAAACTCATCACTTCTATAGATCTTTTTCAATATGTACTTCAATAGAATAAACTCTACTTCTTTTTTGCTTCTTTGGAAGTACTTTTTTTGCTACGGAATTTCGTTTACGGTGCGGAAACATGGTTTTAAAAACAGGTTAAAATTTGTTTTTCTATGTTTATAAATATGTATTAACGTTAATTCGCTTACACTGGTGACACTAAGAAGCGTTTTTAATATATGTATGTATGTATAAAATTAATACTAACTTAGGAACTTTCAAAAATGCGTAAAAAAGTTTTAATGAAAGCAAGTCGTTAATTAACAATACTATATAGGATTCCGTAAATCATTTTAATTATTTGCTAATCAAATTTAGTTTTTTTTAACAGATTTATGGGTTTATAATGTGTTAATTATAAATAAATTCAGCTAAAAGATTTATACAGTTTCCCTATACTTATAAACATTTTAATAAAAAATACATTTCTTTTCAAAGAAATTATCAAACCGAAACAAAAAAATAAAAAAAAACTTATCAACTTAGTGGATGATCTTTAAGGGTCATGCCACATTTATTTATGTCTGAATGTATCTGTACGATGTTCAAATATTTCTTTATTAGAAATAACATTTTAAGAGAGATTCTGTTTTAGTCACAGCAAATATATAAAGATAGAAAATATATTTCTATAAAACAAAAATGGAGGATTTTTTAAATAAACATTTTTTTTTACCAAAAAATTCCCAAAGAGTTTTATAATATGTGTGACATTCCATTAATAATGGGAACTATTTTGTTAAAGAATAAACAAAAAAGAAAAATAATTTCATAATTTTCCTTATGTACGGCTTATGGAAAGAGTTTAAAAATAAGAAACAAAAGTGTTGCATGCATCCTATTTTTTTCCTTTTGTTCGTTGCTTGAACGGGCTATGACTTCGTGCGGTCGGTCCATGTTGCCTGTTTAACTCTTGCTGTGTACAGAATTTAAGCGACAATTGTTAGAATTATTGTAAAAAGTATATAATAATTACATAATTGTGTAAGAAAGTGTATTTTGTACTCGCATTTAAACAATTATTGTAGTCAAGTAGTTACTTTTGTAAGTCAGTTTTGTAATCAGCTCATGCGGTGACGTTTTTAAAGCAGCGGCGGTGTTAATAAAAATTAAGCAACAACAATTTAAACTCTTTACACAGAGTTTAATTGACGCTGCTAAATACTACTAAACAAAACATACTAAAATTGCTTGTAAGTAACCCAGAATCTGAAAGAAGTCGGTTGTGCTATGCTTTTGTCCGTCCGTCCGTCTGTCTTTCTGTATGTATGAGTTTTTGTACCCAGTGTGAAGCAGTGCAGTTTTAGAAATATTTCACAAAAAAAATCAAGCAAAAAGTGAAAAAAAAACAATCATAAAGGATGAAAGGAAGGCCAGATGGTTTAGGTGTATGTACAAGTACTTGCTGCTCTCTGTTAGCCCGATATTGTTCCTGTACTGTGTAAACGGTTTTAAACGGCTTGTTGATGTTCTCAAATTAAAAGGATTGTTTTCACAATTTTTTACACACTTTTTTTCAGTTTCATTTTTACGTTCTGTTAATTTTCTGTGTTGCAAAAGGTTGTTGCTGTTGCTTTTCCAAACATCCTGTAGTTTTAACTGTGTAGTCGTAATAACTTCACTTCATGTGATAATAAAAGTCATAATTTTAGATTTTTTCACACTTTTTTTTTCGAAACTAAAACAACTAAACACCAAATGGGTGACAAATTATGAGACAAATTGCTTAAATAAACTTTTTTTGCACAGTTTGTGGTAAAAATGTTCATTACAGGTTTAGCGTTTTACTTTTTTTAATGCGCAAATTTTTAAATTCATGGAAATTTTGCTTTTGCATTTTATTATTTTGATTAGAATAAAATAATACAAATTTATTGTAAATTTGAAATTTACTTATTATTGAGATTCTGTTTCATTTTATAAAAACGAAAAAGGAAGTTCTAATCTATAGCTTGAGCCTCTACATATGTATGTATCAATTTTCTCTAATTTTCTAAAACGTTAAACAATTCTATTACCCTCAAATTAAAAGGTCAGAAGTAGTAAATTCATGACGTATAGCTGAAACGTTGGTAGTAAATCATAAATATATATGTATATGTTTCGGGAAAGCTTTAAAGTGTTTCAAAAAATAAAAACTTGCATAATAGTTTATAGTACTTTTAACAATCTCGTTATAATATTTCCAGTTATTGTTAACTGTATTCATACATAAAACATACAAAAACAAAAATACAATAAAACTTTAAAGACCTCAGAATATCAGAAGTAAATTCATACAAACGTATGTATATATTTCTATATTAAAAAGCAATAAATGACGAAATAATTGATTTAATGTTGTGTTGATATTCATAAATAAATACATGTCTGTAATTCCTTCTTTTATGATTTCTTTTCTTTTTTTGTTCTTGTTTTCTGTTAAGTGACTGAAGTGACTGCCAGTGTGTGTATGACTGGGGCCTATTTGACTGATTGCCATACCAATCTGTCTTTGCCTTTATGTCTGTTAAGAGTCAGATACAGAACTAAAGTATGAAAATAAACCCATAATAATAATTGTACTAAAGCGGCTGTAGATGAAAATAATAAGAAAACAAAAACTTTATCAAACAATTTGCAATGCCATCAAAATTATCATTTTCTTTTTAAAATATTTTTTAGTGGGGATGTGTGCCATCATACAGTTTTACATAAAAATATGTGTTAAACATTATTTGCTTAAAAAAATCAAAATTAATAGTACTGTTCGAAATAAGAAACTGATAACTTTGTCGGTCACGACTTTATTTTTGTTTGCTTTGAAGATACATTTTTTAAATAGATCACTTTTGCATGATGCATGATTTTTACATAATTCATTTTTACATAATTTCATAAAATTTACAAACATTATAAATACTTATCATTCCCTTTGAAGAACTAAACATTTTCAAACACTATATAAATTTCAAAGAAACTTCTTTTAACTTGAACTTTATAAAATTCTACTTAAATCCACGATTATTCTTCCAAAACACTTTTTGTAAATAATATTTAAAAGAAACACTCACCTGCGATAGCCATCCAGGGGTAAAATGTGTGATTGCTGGCCTGGTGTAAACTACTTGCTGTTTGTGCAGCTGCAGCTCCGGAAATTGTACAATTTGCATTCCAGGCTGTAGCAGCACCACCGCCAGCCGCACCCACACCGCCAACATTACCACTCTGACTAACACTACCGCCGCCGCCACCACCGCCAACACCACCCGACCCGGCACCTCCAGCACTACCGCCACGATGACTAACCGGACTACCGCCCGATGTATCCAAATAGCCACCGACCCGGGAATCGGGTGTACATGCTGACGGTCTCACCGGCATACCACCACCGGCCGCTGAATTTTGTCCTCCATTGGCGGTATTGTTTGAAGCATTTGTTGAGCCGGCCGAACCACCACCACCAGTACCGCCGCCACCGCCAGCTCCACCATTCGAACTTGTATTCCAAATATCTTTGTAACCGTTCACGGAATCGGCTTTGATATTGAGACAATCCTGTTTGTAGGCCTGGCTGCCATCGCCATAGATTTTATTGCAGGCCGCTGTAATGCTGGCATCGTAGGGTGAATCTTGTGTGGAGCGCTGTAGATGGTGATTGGTGTAGGGGGTCATGCCGAGCGAGAGGGGGAAACCTCTGTAGGCGGCTGCTGCGGCGGTGGCTGACTGATCGTGATGGGCACTGGAGCCCATGGACATGCCGGTGGCTTGATGCGGATGGCCATAAAAGCCAGAAGCTTGTTCAAAATATGAATTCATACTGCTTGTGGTAAGAATTTTGGCGGCTTTTAGTTGTCGTTAAAAGGAGATTTTTTTTTTATTTAATAAAACTTTCAGTTGGTTTTTAAACAAAACCACCTTGGTTTTATTGTTTTTTAAACACAGTTTTTTGTTGGCTGATTTTTAAAATTTTTATTTATTTTTTGTTTGTTTTAAATTTCATTATGTTTAAGAGATTTATTTTTCAATGTTAGTTAAGGTCACAATTATTTTTATTTTTATTAGTTTTATTTTCTTATTGCACTTTTTATTTTTAAAAATAATTTAATTATTTTTAATAAATATATTTATTATTATATTTTTTATAAAAATCGTATACTTGTTTTCAGTTTAATATGCACATTTTTTTTTGTTTAAAATTATTTTTTAATTGATTTATTTGAAGAAGATGTCACTTGTTTTACTTTTCCAAAAAAACACATTCATTTAAAATGTAATAATAATTATAATAATACAAGTAGTTGAATCAATTTTGTTGTTATTGTTATAACTGCCAATGATTACGTTGTTGTTGTTGCTGCTGTTGTTATTTAAATAAAATTTATAATAATAATTATTTTTATGATTATTATTTGTTTTTATTGTTATTATTTTTTTCTTTCTTTACGTTCTATTTTAAAACATTCAAGTAATATCTTGTTTTTATTATTTTTATTTTTTTTTGTATCTGTAGTTGTTAGTGTTATTGGTAGTAGTTGTTGGTAGTTTGTTTGGTTGGTATTTTCATTACGACCGTTGTAGACAAACTGACTAAACCATTGAAATAATCATAAAGATATTGAAGTGCAGCAGCAGCATGTTATCAAGAGTTGAAAGACAGTGAAAAGAATGAATGAATGAGCCACTAGTTGTTGGCTGTTTTAACTTCAATTCAATGTTTGATTGTTGTCGGTGTTTATCGGAAAAGGGGGTTAAATACGAGTGAGATACATTTACGAGATTTTTAATGTTCTTTATTGTTATAGTTTATTTTTAAGCACACACTGACTGACTTACAACACTTTTACTGTTTGTTTTCAAATTGTAAATTGTTCAAATAACAATAATAATTGGCGATAAAATTTTGTAATAAAAGAAAGCGCGCGCCTGTTAACCAAACCGTTGCCATCGAACGAATAATCCACCGTTTTGCTGTTGGTTGTGTTATGACTGAAGAATGTTGGATGGATGGATGAATGTGTTGCTGTTGTTGTATATACACGTAACTGAGTATATGTGTGTGTATCTATGTGAGTGATGATGATGATGACGACGACGATGATTGTGATAGCGCACAGCTAAAAAGCACACAACACACAGTAGTCCGCAAAAGAGTATCAGCAGCAGAAGCAGCAGAACCTCGAGCAGTAGTCGTAGTAAATTTTTGGGTCTACGCGTACCACCAACTTCAGAACAGAGAGGAGGTTTAGCTCCCCCAAAAAAAGTATGGAACAAAATAACGAAAATGTGTACGTCCCAAAAGAAACACGTTAGTGAATAAGAGAAAAATACAGACAACCCGCAAAGATATAAAGAGTACACAGCAGACAATTTACCAAATTCACCGATAAACAATCCAACATCAACGAAAACTGGCTTAAAAATACTATAAACTTCAAACTGAGTCACTTCAAATCATACCTCCACCACCAGTAATTCGACTACCACCACCACCACCACCTCAATCGCACACTCTTACAACTCTTGCTCTTACTCCAAATGTTTTAAAATAGAAGAGTAAATTGTATTTTATAAACTCACACAGGCCCACACTCCCGAATTGGAGTCAATTTATTTCACTTTGAATTAGATAATAACTCAAAATACAAGAAGAAATAATTTACAATTTTATTTTGTTTCCCAAATAAACACCCAATTTTTATTAATTAATTAATGTTTCTCCACAAAAGACTTTTTGAAAATAATTTTAATAAATCTTTTGAATTAAACACCATAAATGATTAATTAACTTTAGCGACGGCATTTAAATTTATTTATATTTCATTTTATTTGTTTGGAATCGCTACACGGGACGGAGATTTGTTTTAAATTTAGTAAACGAGAGTGTTTAAAAACGAAAAAAATGATTTAAAACTGGCACGTTATAGTTGAACACTAAACTAAAGACAATAAAAGTCATACAATAGAGCGGCACAAGGCCCAAAAAACACACTGTAAAAATGAGCAAAATACTTACTAACTCACAGATACACTCATACATTCACACAAAAGAGTGCATTTCCAACATTTCACAAGAAGAACATTCATCAACAAAATTGCATTCGAACCTACTGAAGCAAAACCAAAACAAACTCAAATGAACACAAAAGTTCATTTTTCTATATAAAAAACACTCAAAACACAAGATATCCAACATGTTGTAAGCTCAAGCGAACACACTCATTAAACATATTCACACAAACTCATAAACACGCTCTGAATCTTCGTTCGTAATCATTCATTTTTACTTTGCGGGTGAAATATTTTCATTTTGAGTGTGTTTTTTGTTTTTGTGTGTTAAACACAAGTATGAAAGGAAAATTCATCATGGAGGGAGGGCGAAATTTTCTTATAGGCCAAATTGTACGTATGATAGTTATTTGTTGTTGTTGTTATTCCTTTTCAAAACCCATGTGAGCAAAAAGCAAAAAAGAAAAAAAGCTGAAAACATTCATCTCTCTTACTTTTGTGTGTTGTTTAAAAATGAGCAAAATACTGCTCATATTTTGTTAGATTTTTTTTTTTTAATTTTATTTGTTGTTTCTAGTATTTTTCTCTGTTTATTGCATAGTAGTAGATACATTTATACAAGAATGAAAAAAAAACTTAAGGAAAATTTGCCCATAAATACAATTTCAGTTTCAATTTTTATTCCTTTTTTCATTTTATTTTCGTTGTTGCTGTTGGTTTTGTTTGCAACTTTACGTATCTTGTGCTCCGCTTTTTTCCATTGTTATTGGTTTTCTTTCGTCCGATACAAAACAAATTATACGCTAGTTGTGTGCTGAATTTTATTTATTTATTTTTTTTTTTTTTTGTTAATATAGATTTTTCTGTCAATCATTCCATTTTTTTAATTTTCATTTAGCGATTTAATTAATGTAGTCAAAGTGGATTCCTTATTTTTTAATCTTTTATTTTTTTTTCTTAATAAATTGCGATTTAATTTGGTTAATAATGTGTTGTTATTGTGCTTAAATTGGTAATAAATTTTATTATTAAAAGCTTTATTTTTTAATTATTTGCAACGACTGAACACAAAACTTGGTAATTTACGGTCTGATTTTGTAAAACAAAATGTTTGGAGATTTACATACATATGTATTAGAGTGTCCACAAAAAGTCGATGTTGGAATCTTGTTCGTCTGAACCCCCACATAACGATCCCCCTTTCCAGATATTGAGAAATTTCAGCTCGATTAAACGACGTTAACACATGCAGCTCGTTGCTCAAAGTTTGAAAAAATCCAAATTTTTGGCCAAAAAGCTAACATCCCAGAAAAAACTTTACTTATCCGGTAAGCAGGCAAGTAATATTTGAGCAATGTAGAAGTACTTACTTTCGGGGTGAATATCTACTTATTTTTATTCGACGTGGTTCATAAAATAACTGGTTACAAATGTGCTTACCCGACTTTCCCTGTCTTAAACCTGATTCTACAGTTATTTTTTATGTTTATTAGTCATTCCGCTTCTTCCGTGCTCCATTAAAAAGTTATTTTATATTACTTTTTGGAATAGTTTTTACATAAAAGTATAAATCGACGTTTTGTTTTAAATACTGATATCAACTATGATTCGAACCAAAACTTTGGATGCTTTCGATAATTGGACTGATGCTATAGATAATTGGCTACAAATCCCATTCAAAAAAAATTAAATAATGCTAATGATAATGACTACTCATTACCAGGTAATGTAATACATTATCTAGATTACTCATTACCAAAATTTGAAGATTTTTTGCTATAAAGCTATAACGTCTGAACGGTAAATAATAGAACAGCTTAGTATATCAAAACAAAGCTAATATTGTTCTTCAAAATGTATATTAAGTCAAACGGAATTACAACAGCTTTCCCCAAAAACGTGAACTGATCGCGGTAGATCATACTTAGTATATTTTGATCTTATATGATAAATGTTGCTAGTAGGTAAATATTTTTACATATTATTGATTCAGAACCATAATGCACATACCTTTAGTATGTATTTCAAAAAGATATAGAACACAAAAATTGGTTGAAAAAAGTAAAAGTTATTAAAAATTCCTCAGGCCATTAACGTGTCTCAGAGCACTTGATTAGGAAATGTGGAAAATATTTGGAAATTCTCATTGAAACATATCGAAATATTATTAATTTGTTGGCCATATTTACTAAAATTAAAAGAATTTATGGTATATGGTCCGATGTTTAAAATAAAATTAACTCTTTAAAATTTTTAAAATTATATAGAGCATTATTTAAATTGATTTATTGAACTTTGGTGTTATATTGGACCCAAGTGCTTTAAAGGTTTAATGTTATTTTTTTGTTGTTGTTTTAAATATCGGACCATATACTATAAATTTCTGTAATCTTAGTAAATATGGCCAACAAATAAATATAATTATCCTTTTAAATAAAATAACCCAAGAAAAACTTACTTTGAAAAGTAATGAGTTAAAAAGCTGATAAAACCTCTTTTCACTACTTCTACTTTAGCATTTAAACTCATTATGTTAACACGGTGATGTCATTAGAGGCAAGTACTTCCACGCTCGCATACAAATAGGGAGTTAAAGATATACTTGCAATTTCAGCAATTGCCTGCGAGAATACGAATCAGGGACTTCGGTTCGTTAGTCAAATGTTCTACTCACTGCTCAATGGTTTTCACATAGAAATCTAATTTTGTTTTCTTATTTGTAAAACACAATTCTTAAAACGCAATTAAATAAAATGTACAAACAAAATGAAAAAGCCGAAAATAAAGTACTTCTATATCAGATTAAAAGAAAGTCATTACTAGAGTACTTTTAAGTAATACAGTCATTGAAAAGTAAGTGGTTATGTAAGTACAACCCATAACCGACTTTTTGCTGGGTAACACAGCAAAACTCTTCTTGTTCGCTTGACATCAAATTTGACATTGTTTTATCAGTACTATTTTTAAAAAATTTTT